ACACACACACACACACACACACACACACACACACACACACCATTATATCTTCAAAGGCTCAATTTTCCAGATCAAAAAAATAAACAGATGCGCACTCTCTGTATGTTTCTAACCAACTTTTGTTACAAGGCTACTCTCAGGTATATTAGGTGAGGAAATAATAAAAGGAATCATGTGTTTACCACAGCCCATTGATCAAGCCTAAACAAATCATAACACACCTATATGAAAATGACATAACTTTGTGGTTACAAAAATTCTAAGGAACACAAAACTCTTCTTAAAATATAAAAGGAGCCGGGTGGTGGTGGCACACACCTTTAATCCCAGCATTTGGAAGGAAGAGCCAGGCGAATCTCTGTGAGTTCCAAGCCAACATGGTCTATAGAGCAAGATCCAGGACAGGCACCAAAACTACACAGAAACACCCTGTCTCTGAAAAAAAAAATTATATATATATATATATAATTTGTGGAGTTCACCAATGCTGCAGTGCAAATGATCAAAGTAAATGTTTTTCTACTGCATTTTTTTTCTAATGCATAAAGGCTGCATTTCTACACAAAATATGTTCCAAATATGAACCCAAAAAATAAATATATTAAAGGAAAATATGACAGGCTTGGTGATGTGCTCCTGGCCACAGCTCACTGAAGCCTAAATCAGAAAGATCACACAAGTTTAAGAGCCAGAGACCCGCCTGGGCAACACAGAGAGAACCTTTGAGAACACCCTGCTTCTAAATATAAATACTATTTAATGAAATTCTAAAATGCACAGACCATTGGCAAGGAAAGATTCTTAAACTAGGTCAGGACATACTTCTTTGCTGCTGTGTGTATTTTCATGGAGAGACATAAAGAGGGGTCTGTTTGGCCCAGATAGGACATGGATGATTGCCCAGAAATTAAGAAGGTCCTATAAAGTCCAGGCTGGTGAACCAATGGAAAGGTGATGTTTCCCAGAATGCATCTAATTATCAGAAGTCATGTATTACAAAGTGTCACTAGTTGGATCCTTCAGATATATTTTATTACTTATTTTTAATTAGGTGTAGTGGTGTTATGTGCACGTAAGTGATGGAGCCTTCTTATAAGTGTACTGCAAACTGAGGACATTATATCATTTCAATGGGAGGCCCGTCACTCCAGCTCTTAAGATTCTTTTGATAATCTACAAGACAGTGTCTGAAATTGTAGATTGAGGGTAGTGAGGTATATATACCACCATTCAAACCACTGGCAATAGATACAGCATTTGAGGTGGGGGGGGAAGGAGAAAGGTCACTGAACCTTGAGCAGGATGCCAGAGGCGATGTTTGGATTTCGGATAAAAATGAAAGCTGTTCTGGCCTTCTAGTTCTATAGGTCCATTCAGCTCTGAAGCCTACCATTACTTTCCTGTGTTTGGGGATGGGAATTATACCATTTTAATACAAAATGTTATATTTCGTTTTTGTTTTTCAAACAGATTTTCTCTGTATGGCCCTTGCTGTCATAGAATTCACTCTGTAGACCAGGCTGGCTACATACTTGAGAGATCTGCTGCCTCTGTCTCCCAAGTGTTAAGATTAAAGGCATGCACCAACACCACCCCATGGTTAGATTTTTAAGAATGTAGATTATGGGTATTGAGATCAGTTCTACAATGCTTTTGCACCAAGCACATTACTTACTATCCAAGCTGTTTATCCAGTTCAGTTTCTTTCACTTCTAACCTTGAGCAACTTAATAAATCTTTTTTTTTTTGGGGGGGGGGGTTTCGAGACAGGGTTTCTCTGTGTAGCTTTGCGCCTTTCCTGGAACTCACTTGGTAGCCCAGGCTGACCTCGAACTCACAGAGATCCGTCTGGCTCTGCCTCCCGAGTGCTGGGATTAAAGGCGTGCGCCACCACCGCCCGGCAATAAATCATTTTAATAAAGAATATGATTCTATGCATTTCATTTTAATGTTAAGAAATTTCACTTCAGGACTTATCTTAAAGATTAAGAAATATGTATTTTAGGTTTTTTTCTTAATTACATTTTATTTAGTGCGTGCATCGCATGTGCGAACGTGCTATATTGTGTGCATAGAAGTAAGAGAAGAGCTTGCACAAGTCAGTTTCTTCTACCATGTAAATTTTGGGAAACTGGGCTATCAGGCTTGGCAGCAATAGCCTAGAGGTTGGGTCCTCAGCCTTGGCTGTTCCACATCTTCATTTCTGGCCCAGATAAACTAGGGGTGATCCATGTATGGCTTTGAGCCAACAAACCACTTAGAAAGTTAGTACACAAATGCAAATATTTAAAACAACTGGCAGTAAGTCTAATGTGGTTTGTCCCAACATACAGAAAACAATGACAATCAATGGAAATGTGGTTATATAATAAAAGACTGTGACATTCGGTTAGGGGTTCACGTGACTGTTCACTTTCTTGTTTGCATAAACATACTACAGTTAAGTAAAGTGTTGACATGACAGGAAGGTGAAGGCCGTATAAAACCCTCTGAACTGTCCTGAAATTTGCTTAATTAGAAAATAACTTCCAAGTAACATTTTAACCTATATTTTAAAAAACTAAGCATGGGGCAGTGGTGGTGCATGCCTTTAATCCTAACACTTGGGAGACAGAAGCGACAGATCTCTTTAGTTTCTTGCCAGCCTGGTCTACAGAGTAAATTCTAAGACAGCCAGGGCTACACAGAAAAACCCTGTTTGAAAAACATAAACAACAACAACAAAAGCGTAGAGATGCATGCTTATAATTTACAAAATTGGGAAGTCAAGACAGTCATAACCCTGGTGCTCCCTGGTCAGTCAGTCAGCCTAATCTGTGAGACTCGGGTCCCAGTGAGAGACTCTGTGTCAGAAACAAAAAACAACACAACAAAACAAAAACAACCAATGTGGCTATATCTAATGAAATGACTCAAAGGTTAGGGGCACTGGCTGCTGTTCCAGAGGACCTGGGTTCACTTCCCAGCAACCACACAGTAGCTCACAACCATCAGTGACTCCATTTCTGGGACATCCAGTGCTCTCTTCTGGCCTTAGCAGGTACCAGGCACAGAGTGTTGCACAGATATAAAAATAGGCAAAATAGGCATATGCATGCATGGTGGTGGTGGAACAAGCATTTAATCCCAGCACTCAGGAGGCAGAGGCAGGCCGATCTCGGTGAGTTCAAGGCCAGCGTGGGCTATAGAGTGAGTTCCAGGAAAGGCTCCAAAACTACATAGAGAAACCCTGTCCCATCACTTCTCGTCCTTTTGCAAAGATCAAGTGAGAAACCCTGTCTTAAAAACAACAAAAAATAGCTATACGCACAAAATAAAAACAATTAAATTTAAAATAAAAACCAAGGAGGCTGTCTTTTGAAAAACACCACCACAGGTTAATCTCCAGTGCCCCCTGGCACATAAACACATGTTGTTCATGAAGACAAACACATACGCACACACAAAAATAAAACCTTACCACAAAAAAAGAAAAGAAATGAAACCAAGATGCCAAGACAGCATTCTTACTGTATTTTGTACTGAAGCTTGCCATAAGAGCAATCCATGAGCAAAATAAATATTATGTATGCTTATTTCTAATATGTCTTTTCCACATTACATTTAAGATAAATTGCATCTCTTTGCAAAGGACATAATCTTCTGAATTGAAAAAAATCTAGGGGCCGGAAGATGGCTCAGCAGCTACAAGCGCTTGACACTCTTGCAGAGGAACCAACTTCCAGTCCCAGTACCCACATCAGACAGCTTAAAACTAGGTATAACCCTATCTCCAGGTGATCAGATCCCCTCTTCTGACTCTGTCATAATGCCACTCATGTACACATACCCACATGTGATTACACAAACATACAGGTAATCGAGAAGCAACCAAAAAGAGAGAGAAAGAGAAAAATAAAAGACCACATCCACAAAACAATATGATTATAAATAAACATGAGTTCATTGGAGTATCGGTATATGTGATAACATCAAATTTCAACTGTATTTTACAGACAAAAATTAACCACTGAAAAACGAAACTCAGATAAGAATTACATTTACCACACTATCATGGAGGTCTGTGTCTACAGCACACGCTGCAGTAGGATGGGAGGAGCCTTTCCAAAGTGCATGAGCCTGAGAACAGCAGCATCAACACAATGAGTTGTCCTCTTTTGCTTTGTGTTTTGTTTTAAAAAGCAATAATAACAAACAAAATAACATTAAAAAATAAAATATTTAGAAATATATATGCTTTCAAAGAAAGGAATGCATTGGAAGGTGGAGAGACAAGAAAGCAGAAAAATAAAAGAAATAAACAAAATAAATAATTATATAGGCTAAGTGCACTTACATTTATTTACATTTTGCAGAATAAAAATTAGAACAGGACTATACAAATTTTAAAATTCCCCAGGTTCATTGATTATAAGGCTAAATATTGTTAAGATAACATAAATTTCCTGGGCAATTAGAGATTAAGTAAAGGCACAGTCTACACCCTAGATAATTTACTATTGTCATCGAAATGAACAACACAGTGCTTAAATTTCTATGGAAATGCAAGCAGCTACCCTGTGTACTCAAAACATTCCTGAAAACCAATGAAAAGTGGACTACTTGACACATACTCCTTCCTTTCAAAACTTATGACAAATTGATAGTGGTTAAAACATTTTGATACTGTTTATGGTTAGATTTGCAGATTAGTGAAAAAATTCAGCATTCAAAATTAATCCTTCTATTTCTAATCAACTGATATGTTGTTGGGGGATGCGCAGCAGACAAATGAACTTATCCCACATAGCTTCTGTATAAATACCTGACAGGATGGCACATACTTGCTAGCTGTGTCTCTTCATGTCCTCCCCTTTATTACTTCACTTCTCCTGTATTCTTCCTGCAGTGGATTATAAATTGAAATAAAGTATTAACACCTAAAATACCAACAACAAAACAAACAAAAATGTTAATAGAAACAAAATGTAGAGTGAAAAGGGAAAATACAGCTCAATCCATGGAGCAAAGAATGATCTTTAAATAGCTGACATGGATGTATTTTCCAAAATAAATAAAATACACTGCAACTCTAAAGTTAAAAGATAAATATCTTAATGAAAAATAAGTATTTAAATAGACATTTCTCCATAGTAGTTAGAGGAATATTGTAATAGCATATTAAAACTTATCAATACTTCTCATTCTTAGGCAATCACATGTAAAAATAGCCATGAAATGCACTTTATAATTCAAGAGGCATAGTATTAAACAAAACAATCAAGAATCAAATTTGAGCCGGGCAGTGGTGGTCATGCCTTTAATCCCAGCACTCGGGAGGCAGAGCTAGGTGGATCTCTGTGAGTTCAAGGCCAGCCTGGACTACAGAATGAGTTCCAGGAAAGGCACAAAACTACACAGAGAAAACCTGTCTTAAAAAAAAAAACAAAATAAAATAAAAAAAAAGAATCAAATTTGAAAAAAAATCAAAATACTGCATAAACTCGTTTATGCAACACTGTGAAAAAGGTAAGGAGGTAATAAACTAATAAAATTATCAATAGCTACAATGTGCATGGGTCTCAGGAAGGCTGAATAGGTGAGATGAACATAATTTTTATATGGCTCTGAAAATAATTTGTATGCCTACCCTCTCTATAAATTAAACAGTAAGTTGGATTTTCCTACATAAAAATATGGGCAAAACAGTATAACTCTTTTATGTCTATATGAAATATCCCTTATTTCTGTAAATAGTGGGGAAACAGGATCTGACCCAGGTAGCTTAGAAAATAAGTGGAGATTCCACCCCCAAATGAAAAGGGAATTGTCTGAGAACACTGTGTTTAGTTGGTAACATTGCTTCCTTGGTATGAACTTCTGATTTGGCAACCACTTTGCAAGTATCTTTGGGTTGATTTCTCAAATCAATGAATATAGGGGTTATGTATGATGAAAGGAATTAGATAGACTGTTCATATACTACTGGATTTGATCATACCTGCAGTCACATTTTTACATGGTTGTGGGCATATTTATACTTGGTATAAAATTTTTCTTCTCTAATAAAATCTTCAATGAAAGAAAGTGGAAATCTGTAAAGAAATGATGGATTTTAGGCTTTGGCAGAGAACAAACACAATTAGCATAGGTCCCCTTGTAGCATCAAAAGTTTAAACAAAATCTAAATGCTAGAATGCAGGTTAGAAAAGGAAGAACATCTAAATTAGTATCTGATTTCTCCATCCTATGAAATCCAAAAGGAAAGATCCAATAAAATACAACTAAGGCATGCAGGTAGAGAAAGTTATAACATTTTAAAGATTGCCCAAAAAGGTAGATCACCTGTTCAGCTATCCCCCTTCCCTTAACTCCTCCAACAAACCATTTTCTGGTTTCTACCAGAACTCTAAGCCAAACACACAAATCTAAAGATTCAAAGCTAAAACCCACATATTAGAGAGAACGTGTGCTGTTTTTCTCTGTGAGCCTGGCCATTGATGGCTGCCAGAGGTATAGGAGAGTAAGTTTTCTTTAGGAGTGTGGCTAGGGGTCGCTTTCCCAAGCTTTCATGGATGGCTCAACATCCATCTGCATACAAGGAGCACTCACCTGACTCAGTAGGTTGTTAGGGGGGAAAAGACAAGAATTGGGAGGGGCACATTGAGGGGTAGGGGGAGTTTGGGGATAGATATGATCAAAATACACTGTATACACAAATGAACTTCTCAAGAAATAATTTAAACAGCACATTTTAGAAACCAAACAAATTAAACAAATACAATGTAGTTTTTCAGAGGAATACTGTTAGTTTAATATTTTGCGTAACAGAAACATGCAACAATAAAAAGATACACACCAATCCCCAAGCACAACCTTTGCTTTAGGCCATGCGAAAATGGATCCCTTAAAAAATAGCTAGATACTATTATTTAGCAATGATGAAATAAAAATATACCAGTATTTGGCAATTCCCTTTGTTTGCTAAATTATTTAAGAATAATCGAACAATAAAAACGCAGTTCCTCACAGTATTGCTTGTTAGGCATACAGGGGACATATAGAAAAAGAAAAAGGCTAAATTTCATGTTATGATTTTGAGGCACATGGTAAAATCACGAAGATGCTTTGAGTACAAAGCAAGACGCAGACAAGGGAGAATCTCTACCTATGCTAAGAACCCGGAGAAGACTGCCCACAGCGCGGTGCCTTTCCACCCACGCTCTTACAATGAACCCCTCTCCAGACTCTGGATGCCCATCCCGGGTCGCAGTCCACAGACCTCAAAGCTTACCCCCTGCCAAGGTTTTCATCCTGAGGAGAGGCCTGCCTGGTCGGTGATGGACCCTCCATTTCATTCTCTGCGCAGCTGCGGACCCTGCCCCTCCGCAGCTTCCTAGCAGGCTGTTCGCAGCCTCCACCTAGTGGACACTAGGTGGCAATGTAAGGTGTCAGTCTGAATTTCTGATCTAGAGAATTCACCTAAACCTGAAAATATAAGCAAACTGACATTAACCTATTGTTCTTGTAGAGTGGAGTCACCAAAAACAGCGAAAGGGAGAGAAAGGTGGACAAAAGCAAGCACGTTCCCCAAGCCTGCTAGCCCGTGTGCCTAGCAGTCCTTTTAATGAAACGCATCCCCTGCCTACACCCAGCCCTCCAGGAAATAGCGTAACAAACAGCTTTCTGTGCTTTTCTCACAGACAGACTTCTTGAGTTAGAGGATATTTTAAGAAACAACCCCAATGATAAATAAATTTCAAAATTCATCGTCACAAGAAGCAATTCTGGGAGATACATGCACATTTTCTCGTTACCTGATCCCTCTCACCTGTCCGGTCTCCTAGCTTTGCCCTTCCTGGTCCTGCATGGTCACCAGGGTTGTTCCTAGCTGTGCTGCAAATCCACATTTCTCTTGTCATCTCCTGGCCTGCTGCCGTAGACACAGTTATTCTCCACCCCACATCCTTGCCTGACTCTCTTGCCCTTTGTCTTCAGAGCACCCTCCAACTTTTCTCATGAAGAATGCATGCCACCTAGCTCTGATGCTGCTCTCTGGGTTCCCATGCAGCTCTTCCCCACTGCGTTTGAGAGTCAAGTTTTATGCAACCTTCAAAAACGAAATACCAGGGAACATGAAAACTGTGCTCATGGTCCTCCCTGTAAGTTGAACACATGTAAAGGGGAAAAGGGACACAGATTCTCCTTTATACTGGAGTCACATTGGAAATAATCTCTCAAATGCCTCACCTATGTTAGACCTGCTTTCCAATTAAAAACGGACCCTTGATTTGAGGATTTGAAGTTGAAGACTAAGATTTGTCTTCCTGCTCGTGTTCTCAAGTTAAGACACAGCCTCTAATTCCCACTACAAGTCCTTTCTCTTACCACCTGTTATCAAACCCTGGTTAACAGAGTGACAATAGGCTTCTCATCTCATCTGTAGTTTTTCTGGTTAAACTGTCTCTCTTAAACCATCATCCAATATTCAGCTTTATTGACCTGTCTCTCTAGACAAATATTTTCAAATCTTTACCAGGTACCACCTTTTGCCAGTATCACTCTGTGTACTTTGCTTTTAAAATGTATAAGATTTTTGGCCTGGTAGCAACATGTCATGACCTTCACTATCTTCTCATGAATGAATAGGTCCTGAAATTTCTATTATGTTCTGAGAGATCACTTCTATCAAACCTTGCAGACTATGATCCATAAAAAATTATAAATCACACAGAGGATGATAGAACTTTGGAAAAATCTGAATAATGTCCCTCTTGCCCCAGTTTCACTTGCTTTTATTTACCTGCTTTAGTTGACTTTAAAAATAGACAACTTTTGACATACGCTTGTAATCTCAGCCCTTGGAAGGCAGAGATAGAGAAGAGGATCCAAGGCATTGCTTGATCCAAGGATCTAAGCCAGCCTTAGGTAATAGATTTGCTTAAGTCCCGGTGAGAGACTCTGTCTCAAAAAGCAAGGGATACCCCTCCTCAGCAAGGATACCCAGTGTTGATCTCCTCACCCACATACCCACACACATAGATACACAGATAAATAGTGTGATGGATATTCTTGGTTGTCACCTTGAAAACATCTGGCATTAACTAAAACACAGAACTGGAAGGCACACCTCTGAGACGTTTTTGTTTAATTTGAAGTAGGAAGATTCACTTCTAATACAGATCTTTGAGATAGGAAATACCTGTAATCCTGATCATTTGAGCTGAGAAAAACCACTTCTAATCTGGGCCACAGATTCTGCTGGAAGCCTGTATAAGGACATGGAAGAAGGAAGCTTTTGCTCTTTGCCTGCTTGCTCTTACCTTGATAGCAAGTCAGTTCCTTCACTGGATTTCAGGATTCCAGCCTATACTGAAGACCAGCCAAGACATCCAGCCTCATGAACTGAGCAGCTACTGGATTCATGGACTTTCCATTCATAGCCAACTCTTGTTGAATTAGCTGGCCCAAAGCCTGTAAACATTTCTAAGAAATCATATAGAAATAAATATAAATATAGGTATAGATAATAGATAGAGAGAGATTCATTCTATAATTTCTGTTACTCCAAAGAACCGTGACTAATACAGATAGCTAGATAATAGATGGTGATAGAAAGATAGATCTGTCAATTAATATAAGTAGGATGTTTTCTGAGAGCAATTTTGTCTATATGTCTAAAGCTCATTACCAGGGGAAGGAGAGGGAAGAAAGGGATACAAAGAGGGAAGAAGGAGGGAAGGAGAGACAGTTGAAGAATGATAGCATACTGTGTTACATGCCTGAAGTCCCATGTATTGGGTAAAATGAGACAGGAGGATCACCTAAGCCCACGTGTTGGTTTCCAGCCTTTATAGTACAGCTATGCATTGAAAGTTTTCCTTAATAATGATTAAACACATATAAAATAAAGTAAAGCAATGAATCCTCCTATACTCCTAACTTATATTCTATAATTGTCACTCTTATGATAGATATATCTATGTTTTTTCTTTACTGCATTGTTTAAGGCAGATTCCAGGTGTCTTGGAGTTATATCATTTTATCAATACATACTTTAGCATTCACCTCTAAACCAGACATTTCCTCACATAATCACAAAGCTAAATTATGGCCTATAATCGAACAATTTTTATCTGATACCAGTAACTTTCCCAAAGTTTTCCTTCATTGCTGTTGTTCTTGAATTGGACTTCAAAGGAGACCTCACATTGTATTTTAAGTGGATGTGAAGTTTCTCCCCACATACTTTTAAAGACAGAATCTCATGCAGTTCAGGCTGACCTAAAATTCACCATGTAGCTGAAGGGTGGCCTTGACTCCTGTTCTTCCTTCCACTATCTTCTGAATGCTGCGAATTTACCAACATATACAACTCACATTAAGACTCTATTTTTTCTGAGTCTCCTTACTTATTATCCCCTATTTCCCAATCATCTTTATTTTGACACACCATAGGCTTCTTGTAGAAATAATTTTTCTCTGAAATTAATTTACTGGACTAAGAAGAAGCACATCAGTTGGTGATGTGCTTGCCATATAAGCATAAGGAATTGAGTTCAATCTCCATAGCCCATGCAAAAAGCCAGGTGCTGTGGCATACACCTATAATCGTAGCACAAGGAAGGCAGGGACAGGAGTAATTGAGGATTACTGGTCATCCAGTGTGGGGCGTTTACCCACCACCCCCACAGCTTCCCAGAGTTTTCTTGAGTGCGAGCAGCAGGAAATATTAGATAGAAGGATTTATAGCGGAGAATCTTGTGGAGATAAACAGATAGAAAATAAAGGATAGCCTCGAGAGGGCCTGGAACCTATTCCAATGGCCCTGGACTGTCTCTGGTCCAGGGTTTTTATAGAGACACCAAGGGGGTGGAGCAAAAGACCTCCTCCCCCAGCACAGCCAAGTGCAGGCCATCTCAGACACCTGCACTCAGGCCCGTGGTCCTGATCATCCTCTATTCGGACCTGCTGGGTAAAGCCACGAGGAACCCCAGAACGGGCTCCCACAATCCAGGGTAGCTGAATTGTGAGCTCTATATTCAGTGAGAGACTACCTCGAAAAGTAAAGTGGAAGAATTGAGAATTCTTGAATTGAGATGTCTTGAATTGACACCTGACATAGAAGCCTATCCCCAACACAAACATGTACTCATGCGTTTGTATCTGTAAAGACAGGTGCAAGCACATATGAACACATGCATACACAACGATGATGAATACATTGATTAATACCTAACGATGAATATTACTCAGGGACATTTATATCAGAAGCAGGGTTTTTATAGCACGTCTGATCTCTAAGAATGGATTTTACCATATGACCTATAAATTTGTTCAGATTTTATGTCCTTGATGTGTACAACATGGAAGTCATAAAAGCATACTCAGTAGAGAAAGAAAGAAAATACTCACATTGGAAGTCACAGGGTGGAGCAATCTCTCATCAGTCTCCCAGCAGCTTCTGTCAGAAATAACGTGAGACCAGAGAAGCTTCCTGTGGAAACAGATGGAAAGGGATACAGAGACCAACAGCCAGACATTATGCAGAGAGAGAGTCTAGATTAGAGATCTCCTTTGGGTCCCTCCCCTCAGAGCTTGAGAAATTCCAAGTGTAGGAATTGTAGGAGAACAGGGCCCACTGAATCAACTAAGCAGGGTGCATACGGGTTCAGAGACTGAAGAAGCAGCATGGGGCCTGTATGAGTCTGCACCAGGCCCTCCACGCATATATTGTGTCTATTAGCGTCCTGGTTTTGTGGGTCCCCTAACTGTGGAAGCAGGTGTTTCTGACCCTTTTGCCTGTCCTTGGGAGACCTTTCCTCCTGTTGGGTTACCTTTTCCAGGTTCAGTGTGAAGGCTTTTGCCTTGTCGTATTATATTTTGTTTTGTCATGTTTGGTTATTGTCTCTTGAAGGCCTGCTCTTTTTTGATGGGTGACAGAGGCTGAGTGGATCCAGGACAGGAGGGAAGTGAAGGGGGAGCTGGGAGGAGTGGAGGGGAAAACTGTGGAAAAGAAAAAAATTTAAAAAAGAAAATACAGGTGGGATGTGAACCATGTTTATACGGCTTATCAAGGTTATCTTCCTCCATCTTGAAGGTCACTCCATTGAAACCACTGATACCTTCTATGGTCCTCTGAATATAACCAATGAGTGACCAACAACGTCACTAAGTAAAACAATCTACCTCCAAATCTGTCTAATATCATTAATTTTCCGAACACATCTCACATGGATAACTATGAGGATGGATTACACCTGAACTCACTAACTCTCTTCCAATTGTCTTTTTCCTTGCCTTAAATCACACTTATTCTCTACCCTCTAAATGTTTGCAAATGCTTTTGTCTGAGGAATCATATTTGAGACATAATT